AAATTAATAGGATTTTTGAGTTTTATTAGAAACAAATTTTTAATCGCGCTTTAGTTTGTTGGGCATATCGGATGTGCAATATTAGCCTTTCATGCACTTCTATTTCACTGTGGAAAAGTGCGAAAAACTATCAAAATATATATAACTGTTTTATTACCCCGTGAGCTTTGCGGTTAAGAGCCATAACTACTTAAGTCTTATAACACTCGAAATGTGCGCATAAAAATTATAACAGTAGCGGCAACAGAAGCGCAAAAACAAACCACACTAACAACAACAGCAACTTTAACTATTTGCATTTGTAGAGAAATATGCATTGCAACGAAAGCAGATAATATCGTGCTAACCGCGACGCACACCACTGAACTCCCACAACCCCATAAGTTCGTCGCCACCCATTTGAACGCGAACCCACACTGAGCTCGAACTAATTTGCATAAACGAAATGTTTTGCGGCTGCCATTGAAAGTGATTGCACACTCAGCCCAAGGAATGGAGGTAGCGAAATGACGGGAGAGATTTCGCCTGACGAAATGGCAAACAGACAGACAATCGGAATCACACGTTTGAGTGACAGCAAAAACAATATCAACATAACAGGGTAGGGTTGTTACGCATTGAAGGGCTGTCGAAGGTAAATATGTAGGTCGTTAGGCAGCGGAAAGACGAAAATAAATAGACAGTCGACACAACGCAACAGTGCAACACGAAAATAAATATACATAAATTTTGGTTAAATAAACATAAAAGCTACGAAAGTTACTTACGGCATGAGTGAATATTTGCACGGCTTTCAGAGACTACGGACTTCGTTTGCTCGGTTGGTCGAGTCGGTCGAGTTGGCCGAGTGTGAGTCGAACTGAGGTGTGTTTTGTTGGTGGTTGTGAAAGTCACTGCTCGCCCCAAATGTACACATTGTACGACTATGTGACCAAGCGAACGTGTTTTCGATGCCGCAAGCCGGCTTCACACAGGATACTACAATGTCAGAGGTCGACTTGGAAATGAGAACGCCTACAAACCATAAGAAACGTAGGCGTTGGAGCCAACAAAGCAGCGTAGGCTCACCTGTGGGACAGCAGCATGTTGGACATGCTATGGTAAATAACAAGCAACGAGAACTCATATATGCTTTGTGTTGGCAAACTGACAAACAGCAGCGGCAGCGCCGACACACAAAGGCAAATAACCAGATGGCTGATAATGAAAAGACAGGTGCGCACATGTAGATGTGAGTGATAAGAAAAGTACGTTAGGACAATAAGCCCAGGTTTAACCATTGCTTACCTAGTATTTTGTCTCTGTCGGAAGGTTCGAGTTATTCAAACCCACGTAAGGAAGCTGCGGTCTCGTAACAACTATTGTAAATGGCATACGTTTCGCACCTCGGGTGGAGAGTAAACAACGCAAACGCAAATCTGGGACTCATTTACACCTACGCATTCGCAGCTTCTGTGTATGAGAGTAACGCTTGTCCCAACTCAGCTCAATATTTATGTCACACCACTTCGACGCACCCGCGCACCAAGTAGCTGCTAACTTACGTCGCTGCAATCTACGGCATGTGCCATATGAAAATGCCCAACAACTATGTAGCCAAGCATTGCGTCGTACAGTATTGTGTCATGCCGTCTTATGTGACATTGGTGACCTGTGTTGCCTCAGCGTAGTACAGAAGCTAAAGTTTCATGGCACTAATTGAAATTCCATGCTGGTAGCAGACTTTTGAGGCTTCCTTCTATCACTTGAAGCGTGAAATATTTAAACAGTTTGCAAAGACTTTGGCATAAAAAAGTATATCGTCGTGAGGTGACCCTGCATGAAATTAAAAAAAAAAATAAAAATTTATATTTTTTAAAGTTTCACAGTAGATTTTATACAAAAATGTGAATGCTTTAATGTGGAATAGAGAAGCCATTTTTCCATAAGTAATATGAAACAAAGCTTTCAAATATGTTCGCATTTGAGTATTAAAGTCTACCCGAGCGTTTAACGCCACCAGCAGCTCACTAACTTCTGTATGTTCTGCTTTCAAAAAATCAGTGGATTTCCGAAGTGTGGCTCCATTCCGACCTTGTTTAATATTCAGAACTGAAATATTTTCGGGTTCCTGCTTTGTACATATATTGGCAGATTAATTTTTGACTTGGAAATCAGATTCACTGGGAGTACAGAAAGCTTTCGTGAGAATTCAGCTATTAGAATTTTAGACGATTTATGCATTCTTTCGGTTCTAATTTTAACACTGCACATAATTCTTGGAGCTTAAAGCGGTCATAAATGCTACTTTCCTCGGAAAGTTTTTCATAAAAATTACGTCTAATCGATTCGGAGGTTCATAAGATTTCTTTATCGCTACTTGAAAATCACAGTTGGAAGTGTCTTATTGAAGATTTCCGTTGCTGTAGATTGTATTCTTCATTTACACTATCATAATATAGAGAGAACCCCTGCGGGTTAGAAGCTCAAGAATTTTCCCATGGTAAGGCTTTCCTGTCATAAGAGGCGATTATTGCATTAAGTTCGTATCGTATCGTATTTGGCAATATTTTTGCGGTTACTACAACAGCAACAGCCCAGAGAGGTAAAATGTTGGAACAGCTTTAAACCATCCCTTTGGATTTTTTCTCAAGCTACCACATTGGGAGTCGATTGCGAAAAAATTATATCATTTTCCCCTAAAATAGAAAATAATAGGGCAATTGCAGCCTAGGATCTATCGGGATGCATGCCAGTAATGAATTCAGATCCGAATATGGAATATTTTCGGCAAAAATTTCTTCGTATTCTCCTTTATGTCGGCCAGTCTCATACATAAAATGGATCTTCTTTCAGAACTCTTTTGGCCTTAACGTTACCTACTGACAAACGGTTCTCGTCCTTGCCGGTATTTATTAACAAATGTTATTTTTTCACTACATATAAACCAATTACAAATCGCCGCTGATCTATTCTTTATATCCGTAAGCATTTAAAGCTTTAAGTGCATCTACGATACACAATGTCGACAGCAAAAATATTTCACATGCTCTCAAGGAGATTAAAATTGCGTGAGACAGACAACCCACTGCACTGTAAGCAAAAGGAAAAAAAATATATAAAATAAAATGAAAAAATAACATTCACTTTTGCCTTGAAAAGTAAAATGACCCACTTAAAACTGATGGAAATGAAAGAAATAGAAACAGCGAATTCTATTAAAAAAAGTTTTATTTCCGCTACATGAGCACTCACAATACCAGTGAAGCTATTTCTTCCCCCAAGCACTTTGTCCCGTACTTGCACTTATATCCCTGGTTAAGCACCCGAGCCCCGTGGCCACTCTTTTTTCACTTGCAAACTAATTCCCCCTCTGATTTGGCAGACACTTCAAGCTGAATTTAAAAAAATTTCCAATTTTTCTATTTTTTGAAAACGAAATGTTGCAAAAAGTGATTTGCTGCTTCATTTCTTGCCAAACGGAAATGAAAGGCCAAAAGACATGACTGACAGGTCATGTGGCATATGGCATGCCAAACACAGCGCGTAGTTAGTTATGGCCGTACAAACGGAGATTTGAAGATTTGTCGATTGCGAGTTTGTGGTGGTGTGCTCGGGGTGGCGGGGAGTAGTGAGTGTGTATGTGTGTGTGTGTTTGTGTGATTGAATTGAGTTTTCTCCCTCGATACTCAGATTAGTGATTCTATAAGAGCAAAAACGCAAATTATTTTTAGGGAGAACACAAAATTTGCTGATGAAGGAATGCATGTACGAAAGCCGAGCAAAAAAACTTTAGAGAGGTAGGCTTGTGCTATGGGCATTTGGTATTATCATACTAGCAAAATCTGTATCAAAAGGGTATGAAATGAACCCTGATATTAATAATTTCCAAGCATATTTTTAAACAAAAATACTTTTAAATTAAATAAATTTATTTATTTTAACATATTTTATTTTACTTAATTAAATTAAAATTTTTCTTTGCTCTTAACATTTTTTATTTTACTTAAATAAATTTTATTCCTTGCTTAATTTTACTTCATTTAATTTAACTTATTTTATTTAGTTTTGTTTCTAGACATTTTATTTTATTTTGTTTTATTATTTATACACATCTATTTTAATTCATCTTTCCATTTATTTTTCCTTATTTTATTTATAATTTGTTTTGTTTTAAATTATTTTACTTATTTTATTTTTTACTTTGTTTCATTTTGTTTTATTTAATTTATTTATTTTTTTTTTTTGATTCATTTTATTTCGTTTCCTTTTATATCATTTGATATGTTTTTTTTTTTGTTAATATGAACTTACTATATTTGGTATAATTTTATTCTAATTTATTTTTTTTATTCATTTTTGTTTTGTGTTTTTTGTTATTAATTTAATTTTAATTTATTACTTCTGTTTCATTTTATTTAAATATTTTAGTTTACTTTATTTACTTTCATTTTATTTTATTGTTATTTTATTTTATTTCATTTTATTTTATTTTATTTTATTTTATTTTATTTTATTTTATTTTATTTTATTTTATTTTATTTTATATTATTTTATTTTTTTATTTTATTTTATTTTATTATATTTAGTTTTTTTTTTCACTTTATATTCCTTTCTATTCATTTTTTTAATTTACTTTACTTTGAATTTATTTTAGCTTATATTATTTTTTATGTAATTTTATTTTTGCTTACTTCCTTCTATTCAGAATTATTTCGTTTTGTTCGTTTGTTTTTCTTTATGTTATTTAATTACATTATTAATTAATGCCCTTTTTTGTTTATATTGCTTAAAAAAATAAAATTTTACATATTTAGAGAAAGCGCTAAACTTGTATTTAGTTTTTTCTGAGTACACAGCTTATACAATTAATATATTTTATTTTTCGAAAACTAATTGCCAAATAATTTATAATTAACTCATCGTGCATTTATATAGATACATTTTTTAATCACTTTGACTCAGTTGTTTTGTTTCTCATTAATTCGAGCACATTATTATTATTGTTATTATTTTTGCAGATTTATACCAGCCAAACAACACCGCAATAATCAAATAACAACAACAATATAAAAATCGAAAGAGCAACAATTCCAAGTAAGTATAAAAATGTGCGAATAAATATTAAGTGGTTCAGCGAAGAGTTCATTTTTAATTGATTTTCGATTACGCAAGTAAAACAAAAAACAGAAAAAGAAGAAGAAGCAGCAGCGGTGACTGTAAAATTGATTTTTGATATTTTTATATAAAATACTTTAGTGTTAATCTTGTGTGTAAAGCGAATGTTCGTATGTATTAATGTAGCACTTCATTTGACCTCAATCAATTGATTAATGGCACAGAGCAGCAATGGGCCATTTGGGGTGTGCATATGTATGTAAATATATTTTTATAGCGGCCAGTTTTAAGAGGTTACCAACCAGCACGGAAGCAGCGGCAAAAGATTTATATTCATATACATAATATATACAATTGCACGTAACCGTAAACCCTCATCAACTTCATCATGGGACCTGGCATATTGCCAGCCGACACATTAATGTATGTCAATGCAATAATTAATTGAGTACAACTATAACAACAACAACGGCTCAACTAATTTTCCCCAGCCAATCCAGCGGATCATATCTTTGATTTCTCTATGGAATTTTTATTTATCCATTAAATCGATATTTCCGTCGTACATGAATAAATTTTAGCAAATTAAAGCAAAATTTCCTGATTTAATTTTCACTCAAACCAACCGTCAACTGATTTATATATTCATTGGTTTATACCATACCCAACTAGTTGACCATTTAGTTGCTTGTGTTATTTTAATTTTAATTTTTCATTAACTCTTTTCGAAGAGCCCTAGAGAGAAGCAGCAACCACAAGAAACTGACAGTTTGACAGACGAGCTGCCTTACAAACATAACTGTATACAGACGTAGATAATATAAAGCAAACTGCAGTACCAACACCAACACAAAAGCCAAACATGCACACAAGTCCTTTTTTCTAGTTAATTTTTGCTCAAACCCATTCTGTTTTGTAGACGAGGTTTAACTATCTTACGGCGGCAATCTCTTACGACGGCTATAAAATAAACAACATACATACATACATATTTACACAAATAAATCACTGTTTGAAAACTTTAATCTGATCTGCTCCTCGCCTTTAAATCTACCAACTCTCTGTCAGGCATGTAGGTGGCGTGTAAATAAGTTTAGTTAAGCAAAGTTAGGCTGCATCAACAAAAACAACAAAAGAATAACCGTAGACGAAACAAAAGCCATCGACTGTATGCCTGTCATGTCCCATTAGCTGGGAGGTTTTGCAACAGTGGAATGGGGTAGTATGTTAGTATGTAGGCCAACGCCAGTGCGAAGTAGCCACAATAACCCTATCAGACACAAGGCATCGAATTAGCTCGAAGCTCGCTCGCATAGTCGCACCGCATGGACTTAGTTTTGTAGCCGATAAGTCAGAAACACCTTCCTCTCTTCTTCTTCTTCTTCTTCTCCAACTTATTCTTGTTAAGTTTCTGCCATTTCGTCTTCTCCACTTAATACGCTCAAATGGAGATTTTTTTTAATTTTTTTTTGCCTTGAAAAACGTCCGCCCGCACTAAAAATAATAAGAGTTGCTCGCCTTCTGCAACAGACAGTTTCATGCAAGTTTAATTTGTCATTTAAAAATTTTGTTTCAATAATTTTGGAAGTGAATATTTTATGACGCTTTAATTGTTTGGGCTTCAAAGAAGTTCAAAATTCGAAAGGAGAGGAAAGACTTTTCACTTTTCATTCAATTATACCTTAATATATGTTATGTATTGAGGTTTACTGTTCGATTGATTTTATACAATTTAATTTTCGCTCTTATTTAGGTTTTATATATATATATTTTTTTAATTAAATAGATTTTTATTTTATTTAATATTATTTTATTTCGCTTCATTTTTTTCTGATGCATTTTGTGTATTACGTTTCAATTTTTTTTATTTAATCATTTTCAAAAAACAAAATTTTTACCCCTGAATATTGCTGGAAAATACTCTTTGAAATAATGTAGCCCAAGAAGTAAGTATAGTAGAGGAGAGAGCTAAGCGCGCCAAGCGATAAATCCTGCCGCTCGAGCACTTTAATCGCCCTTTTCTCGAAACCACGTTTTTTCAACAGGGCGACACCCTTATGTAGAACCTATTGAACTTATCAAGATAAAGTAGAAGGCATTACTCCAAAAATTACTCTCTATAGTTGGTACTGCAACCAAAAATAAATTCCTCGCAGAGACTTTAGGCTTTGCATATCCCCACAGGGAAAAGTCACACAATCTTGGTGGCCAATCGACCTGCCCAAAACATGAAATTATCTTCTCACTGAGGTGTTCTCTCAATAAATCTATTGATTGATGCCATGTGTGAGAAGTGGCACCGTCTTGTTGGAACCAAATGTTGCCGAGATCACGAGCTTCAATTTCTGGCTTCAAGTAATCGATCATAAGGGCGCGATAACGTTCGTCACTGAAGAAATATGGGCCAATGATCTCACTGGCCCACAAACCACTAGATGAAATGGTAACTCTTGAATCTCTTTAGATTGTTTTTCGTCCCAAATGCGGATGTTTTACTTGATTATAACCCTTTGGGCGAGAAATGGGCGTCAACGACGAACAAAATTTGGTTCGAAAACGTTGGATCTTATGCTTATGTAGACCATAAGTTTAGCAAGGCGCACGAAATACGTTCTTTATAAAACGCGAATTTTTGTAATAAAATTTTGTAAACGTTGTTAGGAAGTAAGTCTTTCCTTGATGAAATGCCAAATTATACTGAACAACAGTAACTTGACAGCTTAACACGACTCGCGTATGATCTGTCAAAAAATAAACTATTGTAAAAATTACCTCTACTCGGATCACCCGCTATATTATTATTACTTCATTTTATATTGTTTAATTTTATTAGATTTTCTTTTATTTTATGTCATTTTGTTTAATTTTAATTTATTTTATTTTATTTTTTTTTTTAATTTAAATTTCTTTTAAGTTTATTTATTTTGTTTTATACCACTTAATTTAATATTTTTTTATTTCATTTTATTTCTTTTCCTTTTTTTTAATTGCTTCATTCTACTCTTGTTATTCCTAGTATATTTTTTATTTACGTTCAATATATTTTGTTTCTTTCTAATTTTCAAAATTTTAAATTTTACTTTACTTTGTTTTAAATTAACTCCAATTTTTTAATTAAATTTCATTTTGATTTAGTATATTTTTCATTTTCATTTTTTTAACTTCTTTATATGATATAACTTCAATTTTTATTTTTATTTAATTTTTTTCTTTTATTTTTAATATCTTTTATTTTTTCATTTTATAGCCTTTGTTTTCTTTAAGTTATTAATTTTTCTAGTAACTTCATTTAATTTTTTTTACTTAAATTTTTATTTTGTTTCAAATTTTATTTTATTTCATTTTTTTACTTATTTTTTTTTTATTTGCATTTATTTTTATTTATATATAATTTATATTTTTTTCATCACTCTTTTTATATTTATGATTTACTTTAAATACTATAAATATTTTATTTTTTTTTATTTTATACCAGCTCACTTTATTTCCGTTAGTTATTCGGATTTGTTTTCCATCATTTATGAAAATTCCGTCAATTACGTTCAGATATTAATTGCAATTAGAAATTTTGGAAACAATAAAGCGCAAATTCAAAATCCAAGAAGAGTTTAGCAAAAGCCGAAATGGAATTAGAAAACTACTTTTATATACATAAATATCGACCAAATCTTTTACCACAATAATTTAAAGTTTTTCTATTTCTCCAGCTATTCAATCAATTTTCCCAAGCATTTATCCCACATCGTTGAAATTTGCATTGAAAGCTTTCATGAAGCTCATTTAAATTATGAAATTAATAAGCAGTTGAAATGAAAAGTTTTAATCGTTTTTGAGTGGTGTACACATATTTGAAGCATAGAGTGTGGTAGGAGAAGTTTATACAACTTCAACAAAAATTTGTGCAATTTTGCTAAAAACATCATTTTCTAATGTTGTTGCATTAAATGAATTTCTTAGTTTCAACTTAGAAAACTGATTTCGCAAGTTTATTATAAAAATAGCAAGATTTATTATAACAGCCTAAGAGAAGCATAATTGAGTAGGCTTTAATCGCGCAAAGGAAATACAATAAAAAGAGAAACATATAAAGATAAAAAAAAACAAATCCAGTTTTTCATTCGCAGATCTTCTGCTTGGTATTTTTTGTTAAATTAAATTAGGGAATGTCATTATTTCATCTTTTCTATGTTATTCGTTAAACTTATGAATAGAGCTTTTAAGCACAATCTACTCGAAATATATGTAGTTAGCAGCTAGCAGCTCGTTTTCTGAATTTTGATTTCTGCCCATAGTAATAAGCTATCATGCGCTCTTTAGCCATTGAATTCTCTCTGACAGTGTTTTAAGTTTACGCGCTGCACAAAGCTATAAGCGCCATCTAGCGGTAAAGTCCATATTATTTTTAATCATGAAAATGGCGTGAAAAAAATGAGCTTAATAACTATGAGGTGCGGTTTATTTTTTCTACCTAAGGTAGTTAGAGATTACCCATCATCTTCTTACAGATTATACTGATTGCGGTACTCATATAAAAAATACAGCTTTTTTTTATTAAATTAATTAATATTTCGCTGCTGGAACAAGCAAAAAAACAAGGTTATTAATTCCTGTAAAAAAGAAGTACGCCAAAAGAAACTAATAAAGAGATGACATCGGTTCTTCAGGACTCTGCGACTTCTTATGCGATGGTGGAAAAATGTGATCGACCGTTTCAAGAAGGAAAAAAGGTCTGTAAAAATGACTTCTGCTGGCGGTTTCCGGTGAGGGACGTAACCAAAAAAAATGTTCAGAAAGTCGAAAAACTAGTACTGCCTGATCGATGAATTAAATTATAGCAGATAGCAGAAGGATTACAGAACAGCAAGTTACGAGCTGTAAAAAAATTAGTGCGCGATGGGTGCCGCGAATGCTCCCGCCGCTCAATAAACTGCGACGATTGGAGAGTTGAATTCGTCAGTATGATTTCGAGTACAAAGAGA